TCAAGCCGTTGCTTATGCACACACTTTGTTTGCCTTCGCTTGCTTATTAATCACTTCCTTCTTGCGTTTTGCACGCGCTTCGCGTCAGCCCGCCCAGTTCCCCCACTAGAGCGCCCGCCACCCATCCGCCGGCCCTGCCATCCATCGTCCACCCACGACACCTTAATGAACCATCTAAAGCACCAAAAGCAGCCCACACCCTGCATTTTGTGCATTTGTCAGCAAGCGACACGAACAAGCACACACACACACACACACACACATACACGCACATACACGCACACACAACCTTGAGCCTTATGCAATTGAGTTTAGACTAGGGGTTGAGGCTGTTTGTTTAGGGGCTTGTTTAAATATTAATATTTCATTTAGTTTGTTGTTGTTTATGCTTGCCGCATTCTTCAGTGTGTAATTATCGGAACTTATCGATGTAAATATAATTGATTAATTATCGATGAGCAGAATTAAGGCACGAACGCTGTTCTATCTACTACTTTGGATATTTAATTGTAATTCTTTAGATTTACCGATTAGATTTTGATTAGGTGTCAATAATCATCGTCTGCCGTGAATGAAGGCTTAAGCTTGAATGATATGTGCATATCGTTAGAAAACGATAACTTAATAAATAAACTGTCGAATAGCAAGAATAAGGGCTTAAGTCTGATTTATATGATTTATATCGATTCAAGCGCACAAATTAATAATTAAAGCAAGAGCCTGAATGAAACTGACTGAAGTGAACGCTTTTATATCTTTTACTTGACATATTTCATTGAAATTGCTTAAATTTATCGATATCTAATTTGACAAGTTATCGATATACATGGCTTGAATTTACTGCTCTGTAATAATCGCCAGCTTATGTTTAAGTCCACAGACTTGTGTCTTATTGATATATGCGCAAAAGACTTGTCGAGCAAAACGTTTGAGGACAAGGCACAAAAGCGAATCGAGAAGAACGGCCAAATGAATGGGCCATATTTTACCTACAAATTTGCCCGCACTTATCGCAATATTCTGCATTCACATTGTCTTCATCAACATATTCAATCATTTAGCTTTTGCTTTGATCGACATTCATTCAACTGATGTGAGTTGTTCATCTGATTCATTCATGCCAACGCTTCCGCATTCACAACAACAACAACAACAACAATAACAACAGTTACGCACACTTGTTGCCAGTGTTGGCAATCGGCATTTTATGCAACACGAGTGCGCTTAACTACTTTATGCATTGCTTTTAATGTTGCTTATTTATTTATTTATGGTTTTGCTGTTGTTGTTTTTTAATCGAAAAAGCGTGCTCAGCTGCGTGTGCGGGGAGGCGCCACCTTTCACAACGGCAACGGCACGCAGCTCGTACGCCAAATGATTAGCGGCAATTACGTATACGAATTAAAGATATATATGTATAGGCATGTATATATAAGAAATGCAGCTTTTTTTTACCACGAAACGTGCCTGGTGGGTGCTCTGTGATTGCAGACAGCCTCGTTGGGCACACTTCGATGCGATTGGAACAGTCGCCCATGCATTGGTCGATTGTCTCGACCCTTAGAGCCAGGCAAAAGTACACAAAGTAAAAGTAAGCAAGTTAGCCAAGCTTAAAGCTACATGAGCAACGAGAAAGAGCGTATATCTTGGGCACGCCGAAAATGTAATACCCTTGCAGACATTTGCCCTGCGATATCTGAGAATAGTAAAGCGCGTAAATGGCGACGTCTCCTTCTATGCAAAATAGTGCCCTCTACGAGGGTGTAAAAAAGGCCCAATATCATACAAAATTCTACTGAATATAACTGTTGTCATGTTTCTGTGCACATGTAAAAGGCAGCTGAAAGCATCTCAGACCGTATAATACAAATATTCTTTATTAACACATTTGGGTCGACTCAACCTTGCCTGTCTATCTTTATGAACGCGTCGATCTCGAAAACTACATGAGTTAGTGGCTTATTCGAATATTATATCCAACTTTGTCCAGAGTAAAACGAGCTTATCACTTTTCTTTCGATATCCTCCCCCATATTATCGATAGATATCGATTTTGTGAGATGATTTTTCAAGCGTAGCTCGAGGATTATAGATCTGAACACATCAAACTTGGTATGTAAGCTCTCGCATAATTTGTACAGATTAAATATATGTCATTTTTTGAATACCTTTCGCCCATTGTATCCAAAATTGTAGAAGACTTATTTACATAGGTACAGCCTTGTACTTTGGTATGCACACACTGTTGTATGCCCTGTTGAAGCTACGAAAATTTAATAAAATTTGGACTATAAGAACCGAAGTTAGCTGGGAGTGCAACCAAGGGGGTTGGAATGTGTGGCAAAGGGGCAGATGCAGCATAGACTTGTCGATGACCTGTTTCCCATTTGTTTCGTTGTTCAGCCTAAAAGATCGCCAAATCAGTTTTAGCGGTTTTTGTGCCTATTGCACTGCGCGACAACAAACAACAAATTTGCAACCTTTCAACTGCAACTGTAATATGAATAACTATTTGCGCTGTGCTTGTTGTTGTTCGTTGTTCGTTGTCGAACGTCATTTGCCATTACTCGTAAATGTCACATATTTATGCTGATGATAACGGCGCTGTTTGCCGTTTCGAGCGTGCGAAACAGGCAAGCGCTGCCCGCCTGCCCATGCCGCCCCCTTTGAGCGTTGCATGCAACAATTCGCTGTCAACAAACAAACGCAGCGAACTCTGGCAAAACTCTCTAAAAATGACTAAAACAAAATTGATTTGTCACGCTGCGCATAAATTGCACATGAGCAACTGTTGCTGCTGTTGTTGTTGCTGCTGTTGCTGCTGTTGCTGCTGTTATTTGTGCTGGAAGCTGCAGTCATTGCAGTCACTTTGCCATGCTTTTCAATCAATAGAAACAACCTTTTTTCCCTTTTGTTTTTCTTCTTTTTTGCCTGCTTTTTCCAACAGTTTGCTTGGCTTCTCTTTGGTTTTTCCTTAGCTTTCATTTGGCTTTTGCCATTTCATCAATTAGGCGTTAATTTTTGCCTGCCTGCAATTTAACGGTGCTAACGTTTTATTAATGAGCCAACGCATTTGGGGCCTGGGAACCAGCCAAAGCTACAGCCAGCAACTGTGCAACTGCCACAACATGTGCCAATAAAATGCCATAAAATTCAATCAAATAAATAAACTTTTGCAAATGTCTTTGCAAATCATAAATAAATACGCGTTTTTTCCTAAAGCTAAAAAAAAAGTGTGCCCAAGGCCAAGGTCGGCCCCTGAAACGTTTGATAATGGAACGGATTGGCTTAGAGCGAGCGTTGCCTGAGCAGCTGGGCGTGGCAGAGCGCGACGAGAGGCGGCGGCAACAGCAACAGTTGTTGTTGTTGTTGTTGTTGTTGAACGGAAGTGAACGACGTCTGCGCTTTGCTTTTGACAATGGGAAGTGAATGCAAAGATCACAGCAAACAGCAGGCAAATGTGTGTGAGTGTGTGTTGTGTGTGAATGTGTGTGTTTGTACGAGTAATTGCCGTATGTGTGCTGTGTGATGTGTGTGTGGACAACAATTGCCTGGCTGGGAAGGTTTCAATTTAATTGTCTTTTTTATTTTTTTCATTTTGCGCAATTGCAAAAATTGCTTTAATTAGCCAAAATGTATGTGTGTGCGTGTGTGTGTGTGTGTGTGTGTGTGTGTTTGTGTGTTGCTGCGTTAATTGCAGCAGCCAAAAATTAGCCAACACTGACACACACGCATATACATGCACACACACACGCACACAAACTGTCAGCCATGACGGCTGCTCAAGCGCTTTTTGATTGACAGCTGCCCCAACAGCTGACACGCCCCCTTGCCAAACATCTGCCCCCGCGACGCGTCTAATACCTGCCCCGCATTTGTATTGTACTACGCTTTGATTTGAACGAACGGACTCAACAAATTTGCGGTCTGCCCAACTACAAATTTTTACCATTATAATTATTTATTTTTTATTAAATGAGCAAGCGCAGTAATATGTTAGATAAATATTCTAATAATAAATAATACTAATGTTAATATTTTTGAGTCGTTTCATTTCAATTAGCGAGAATCGTCATCAGCCGCATTAATGAATAATAATTATTCAAAAGCAGAAATGCAAGAACATTTTTCAAGTTTATTATTATAATTATTACTATTATTATTACTATTATCATTATTATTAATATTATTAGTATTATTATTAGTATTATTATTATTATTATTATTACTATCATTATTATTATTATTATTATTATTATTTTTATTTATATTATTATTACTATTATTATTATTATTATTATTATTATTATTATTATTATTATTATTATTATTATTATTATTATTATTATTACTATCATTATTATTATTATTATTATTATTATTATTATTATTATTATTGTTATTATTATTTTATTTTTTTTCATTATTATTATGATTTTTACTATGACTATTATTATGATCATTATTATTGTTATTATTGTTATAAGTTATTAACCCAACTTTTGCCAAGAACTGCATTCATAATTCAGGCTGAGATCGTTTTATGGTTTCTTTATATTTGTGAAAAAACCGCCTAAATCTTATTATTTTTTACTAATGTTTCCACCTACACATTTAAATATAAAATTATCATTCAGTTTCTAATTTTTTTGAGAAGCAAAATATTTAATAAATATTTTTTTATTTTTTTATTATTTATTTCGAATTGTTGCTTACGCATTAAAATATGAAAATAATATTTTAAAATTTGACATCTTTCGAAATTCATATTTTTATTCCACATTCGGATTAAACTACTTGTCAAAATCGCTTGTCAAATTTGACACAGAAGTTTAATTTGTATTACTTAATGCTGTTAATAAATACATATGAGAGCATAAAATGGCAACTAGTTTGCTTGAGCTTTAAACTATATTGAATTTATCGAGGTATAGTACATTAATTAGTTCAATTTATATAATAATAAAATAGCTAAAAAGTGAATTTAATTGTGGACTTACCTTAAACTAAAACACTCGCCAGTCGGGCGTTACCCGTCCAGCAATCCATAAGTTTCAATTTTCAATTGATTTGTTTTTTGTTGTTGTTTTTGTTGTTGGATTTAGGCCGTCCTCGTTGGTTGTTGTTGTTGCGTTTGCTGTTGCGTTTGCTGATGACGTTGTTGTTGTTGTTTATGTTCTTGTGGTTAATTATGTCGCTTTTGGTTTCAATTTGTTTTTATTTTTTGCTTGATTTTTTTTTATTTTCTATTTTTTCACTTTTTGCACACCGAAAACTGTTGCATAGCACGTTGTACAACACTGCTGTCCGAAAAATAACCGTTTTTGAATGGTTTTTGCTTTTGATTTAAGTTTTTGTTTTTGTGATTTTTGTTTTTTGTTCTTTTGTTTCGAGCTCGAAAGAATTGTTGCCCAAAGAAATTGTTCAAATTGTGATCATTTTTTATGCTGCTTCTTCTTCTTCTTTGCTCTTCTATCGTTTATCTTAATGTGTTATCGATAAAAATGTAATTGGTCCAGTTTGTTGCAAATATTTCGTCAAGTTTGCTTTTGAGAGAGAGTGCCCGTGTGTGTGTGTGTGCGTGAAGTTGTGTATGTGTTTGGGTGCGAGAGAGAATGTTTTGTTTTCGATAGCCGGAGAGCGCTGCCAGAGTTGTAGCGTGTGATTCTTGTTGCTGTTGTTGTTGTTGGTGTTATCGATAGGCTTTTTGCTGAGTTGCTTATCGATTCGCCGAGATTTCGTAGTTGATTTTCTTTAAGTTTTACACGCTTTCTTCTTCGTTGAAATTTAGAATTTTGAAGAATATGCTGCAAGAAGAAGATACAGAACAAAATGCTGAAGTTAGTAAGAATGATTTTTGTCCCCTTATGTAAAATTAAGAATTAATAATTCCTCAACTATTTCAAAATATTCGCTACAACCCATATATTTTAAATTTTCATTTTAATCAGACTCTGACTAAGTACTCCGAAAATAAACATTATTGTTTGCAATGCCAACAAAATCTGGTCACACTTTGTTCAAAAGCTCAGTTAACAGTTAACAGTCAGGAACTTTACGAAAACAAAAGCAAAGTTTTGAATAGTGCACAAAGAAAGAACAACAGAACAACAACAACAAAGCTCAAATGTAGGCTATGGTAAATGCGGCAGCTAGAGAGAAGCAGAGAGAAATGGGCGACAGGAAAGGGTGCCCGTTGGGCGGGTCTGAGTGGGTGGCGGCAAAAACTGCAGCCAACAATTTGACGTAAAACTTTCACTATTTTAATTACCTAGCGCAAATTTTGTTGTTGAACAACAACAACAAGAGTCAATGCCAAAGTCAGTCGTAGCTGTTGTTGTTGTTGTTGTCTGTCGCTGTCTCAAAAGTCTGGCAAATGTCTGCGGCTGCTTCAAGTGCCCTGCAATACAAGTGCAGCCAGACACAGACACACACACACACACACACACACACACACACACACACACACACACACACACACACACACACACACACACACACACACACACACACACACACACACACACACACTCACACACACTCACACACACACACACACACACACACACATACACACAAAGAGCACATACATGAAAAGTTTTGCAGCATTGTTAGTGCTGCTGTTGTTGGTGCAACATGTGGCATGCTTAATTATGACGCTGAGAAGTCACAGCGACAATGTCAACTGTTGAATTATGAGCCCACACACACACACACACATACACAACATAGAGTGAAAAGTTTAATTTTTGCCAACTTTTGTGCCGCGTGACGTCATCATCGTCTTTAACTTTAGATGCCCTGCTTCTTCCTCGGCCCGCCACATATTTTAATCAGCCTTGCAGCATCTCGCATCAACTTTATCAACATCACGAAAGCAACAAGCAGCAACTGAAAGTTGCGCTGGCATTGAAAAACTTTTACTTTGCCGCATAAGTAGGTTGCCCCAAAGTGAGTCTCTCTCTGTCTCTCTGTGTCTATCTCTCTCTCTCGCACCCTTTCGCACTCTCTCCCACTCACACTCTATCTCATGTTCTGTCTGTCTGTGGAAAAAGTTCAAGTTCATGGCAAACAAATTTTCTTTAAGCTAAATTATGCATAACATTAAGATTATTCGAAGCAAAATTATTCAAAGCGGAAGTGAATAGTTGCATGAATAGATCGAATATAAATAGATAATATTCGCATTTGTATTTAAAGCAAATTTTTGAACCTGATTCACTTTTCATGCTAATAAATGATACGCTCGCAGCTTACGTAGCCAGACAGCTTTACAATGTGGATTACAATGAGGTTTGACATTAAGTTCCATGCGGCTTTGCAAATGTGCTGAGACTGATTAATGCCGGCTTTTTAAACGTAAGTCGCAACACATTCAGACTTTGCTTAAAATCAGATATAAGACAGAGCTTAAATGATATCAGCTTAAAGATAAACAGCAATTAAAACAAATTCAGTCACGAATATAACTTTAACATGTTTTAGAAAAACTAAGTATACACACATCTTCAGGCAATAATAATATTATCTATCATCAGCATACATTTTAGAAAGTCTACGTTTTTTTTTTATCGAATGCTAATGTCAACTCAATGTGAACTTATGTACACTGCCTGTTAACTTATGTTCATTCGTATAGTTAACAATATGTTGGAAATGTTGACTCAATGTAAAATTAATTTATGTTAATTTGGGAATATGTTATTGCTGTTATACAATTGAATGTGAAGCTGATGTTGTACGACATTAAACCAAGGAATTCATAACAGACTGATCTCAATGTAATGTTGGTTTATTTGTATTTGTGAATATGTCTTTGTTCATTTACATAATTTAATGTAAAGCGAATGTTTGCTTAATCGGAGAAGATTAAGGAAGTGATAACAGACAGTTAACAGAGGGAGTTACCCTGTTAACATCTGTTAACTCGTGTTAAGATGCCACGAATGTGACCACAAAATAATCGTAATTCATGTAAATTTGGGAATGAGTTTTCCTTTATTTACAATTGTAGGTAAAGCAAATGTAGGCTTAGTGGGAAATGTATATTAAACCAAGGAACTGATAAAAAGAATGCCGTAGCCACAGCAGTTGCTGGCAAATGAAATGAAAAGCTGGCGAATAATGCAGAACGGGGCAGTCAGACTAAGAGCCAGTTAGTCAGACAGTTAGACAGACTGTTGAACAGAGGGGCACAGACAGGGCGACAGCTAAGTTAAACCAATGCCAGACAGTCGGCAAAGTGTGAAGAGAGGGCAAGGTGCAGAGGGAGGGATCGGGGGGAAGGGCGGCGAAGACACAGTTGTGGCAGACAAAGGTTGTTTGGTAAATACCGAACACGGCACAGAATATGTCTATGACTAGACGCTGTCTGTTGTGGCACCTTACAATAAGCAACATCCCCAAACAACTCACACCCCCCTGCTGCTCACCTGCCACACGCCCTGCGCAGTTGCCTCATGAAAGCGACTCCGAGTCCAGACAGAAAGCCCAAGCCCGCTGACGACGACAGCCTGATGACTAGCTGCTTAAAATGTCTGCACAGCTGTTTGATGAGTGTGTGTGCGTGTGTGTTGTTGTGTTTCTGTGTGTGTTGCATCAACAGTTGAAGTTGCAGCCATTGCGCACACATAAGGCTATCGACATATTTTTTAATGTTAGCAGACACAGGACACCTCGCATAAAGAGCGAAAAGCCCCTCACGACAGTTAGTCGCAAGTCGCAGGTGAATGTTGCGCGTGTGGAATGCCACATGAAATGGGGCAGCAACGTTGCTGTTGCTGTTGCTGTTGCTGCATACGCTGCGTGTTTGTGTGTCTGTTGCACATTAAATTTTGTTTTATTCTTGACAATGCGACGTCGTCTTGCGTTTTAATTTCGTTTTCTTTTGTGCATATTTCATTTTCTCATTTATTTCGTTTATAATGCTCTGTCCGCCAGCTGCAGCAGAGTATATTCGGCTGCAGTGTTTAAGCTAGTGACGCGATACTTGACAGAAGTTTGTGGCCACGCCTACTAGGACGCAGTGCAAGTCGGACGCCATATTTGGAAAGTCTTGACCTTTTGCTGACACTCAGCGAGCCCACGAGAAAGCAGTCACTCCTTGAAGTTGTTTTACAACACTATACACAGAGTATTGCGCAGTCGTGCAACATTCTTTATTTTTGGTTTTAGTTTTGTATCTGCCCTGCCCCTCTTGTGCTTATCGATTGAGCTGCGCCCTCTGCCACTCGCCCATTTATGATAAGCAGCCAGTAGGAAGAAGGCAAGGACATTCACTCAGCTCCTGAGTTGCCCTTCGTCTTCGACTCTGCCCCTGTCTGTGACTTTGACTCTGCCACTGCCTCTGCTTGTTGCTGCCATGCGTGACCGTCCGATGCCGTTGACAATAAATTTATGCAATTATCATCAACAACATCATCTGCATTCAATTTTAGGTTGCACAACTTTTAGCGGCAACTGTGCGCGCTTTGTGCCCCTCATTTCTGGCTGTACTATTTTTTGTTGTTGTTCCTGCTGCGCCTCTTTTTTTTCATTTTCGCAGAAGTTAACAACAACAAAAACATTAAGAAACTGCCTGTCTTGGCGTTTATTAGAAACTGCGGAATTTCTCAGTCGAGCGTTGACGGCTGCGCGACAAATTCGTTGAATTTATGAAATTTTAGAAGTCTGCCTTAAAAAAAAAAAAGACAAAAAAAAAACTGAGCAGTTTATGGAGCTCGAGTAACAGGGCACATGTCACGGAATTGCAGTTTGCATATGAGATAGCTGAAAACACACACACACACACACACACACACACACACATCACAATGGCATCTCGCGCCAGTTTATTTATTGACATAAGCCCAGCAAATATATCACAAGTACTTGACTTAAGTCTCTGAGCAGCCATAGAAAACTAATTTGAATACATAAATATACTAAATATATATATTATATTCGTTTTTATTACCAGCTAAGGCATCCTTTAAGTATGCCACAAATTTGATAGCATATATATACATATATATGCATGTATAAATATACATATATCAAGATCTTATGGAACTGACGGACCATAGCAAGCAGAGCTACCAAGTTGAGTATTTGGTTTCTTTTATATTAAATATTGAGAATTTGATTAAATATTTTTTAAATTCCTTCTTTTTTTTTTTTGTTTAACATCAATAGAAATAGAAATTTGTCAAACTCTTTTTAACCGAAGTCTCATTTTTTTATAGTGCTGCACAATGCTTGCTATTGTTGAATACAGTGTTACTTACATAATTGATCAAAAATTTTAAACCGTAAGTTCTTTCTTGTTTAGTGTTGATCAACGCTAAGTATTGTTATATATCTAATAGCCTGTTCTTGAAGAACTGTTGCACAACACTGGCTCTGAGTGTTGCACAATGCAATTAACCCGAAAGCACGCAAATCTTGTGCTCGCCTGCTTAGCTGGAGTTCGGCTTGCACATTGCACATATGTATACATTT